AAGATAGTTCACTCCTCCCTTTGAGCCGATTTAAAAAAGACTCTCAGTGTCCTCAAAATTTGGAAGCCCCCTCTTCGAAAAAACGCGAACTTTGCGAATTGAGTTATCCTATTTGTGTGAACAAAAAAAATAATCAAAGTGAAACTAACAAGTTGTGCTATTCCTATTCTTCTTCTGGAGAAACGAAAGAGAGCTTCAAAACAACGTCTGCAGCTAGCGCCATTTGAGGCTATGCGCGGACTTCCGCGGACACCTTTTTTTGGCTGAGTGAACTATCTTGTATCCTGTACAATCTTTGGGCACAGCAACACTTGGGGAGCGAGAAAGAAATCTGACCTACGAGTATCTAGAATAGCGGGTGAAAGTCATTTTATAAAGCAAATGGCGTGTTAATGCGTTCACACTGTACTTAGTGATCTAACACCGCCTTGGTACCTCCCTCGTCGCGGCTCGGAGATTTAGGAAATCAAGCGAATAATTCGCTGTGGTCGATACCAAAAGGAAAGACGCATCGATACTTTTTTTAAGACTTAGTAATGTCAGGATTCCAATCAAAGAATGAACATGGTTGTATGTTTGAGTAAATTATAGAAACACAGGGACACTATGGGGGTAATTTGGTCGCTTTTAAGCAAAAGGGGGCTTTCCCGAAAAATGCTGTTTTGAGAAATTCGAAGGTTAAGTTTTTGCCCCTCCCTCAGTGTCTTTAAAAGACAAGGAGAGTTTTCTCTATAACCAAACAAATATACACACCATGACCAATGAAACCAAACTTCTCCTATAGGTAGGACAATGCCTACTTTTGGTGCAGGTCAAGATTTCTGGAAACCCCCGAAATTTGAGTTAGCACGCTTGTCCTTAAAAGCGACCATTTAGTGTGGATGGTTTTTGGGCTGTCGGCTCAGAGGGGACAACGACTTTACCAAACGTCCAAAGTCAAGTTTGTAAAAAAGTAGCATTTCTTTTGCTTTGGAAAGTGTTTAACTGCACTTGCCTGGGAATGAGTTCCGCAGAGGGCAAGCCGACCAACACACAAAAGATGGGGATATTAATTTGAGCGGGGTATACCCTAACCTTAACCCTAAACCCTAATCCTAACCCTAACCCAAAACCCTAAGTCCAAACCTTAACCCTAACCCTAACCGCTACCCTAACTTTAACCCTAACCCTAATCCTAACCCTAACCCTAACCCTAAAGCTAACCCTAACCCTTACCCTAACTCTAAACCGTAACCGTAACCCTAATCCTGACCCTAACCAAAACCCTAACTCTTGTATAGTTTGCTCAGTGGACCTTGTCACGGTAAGTACCGCCCCTCTGCGGAACTCCTCCCCACACCTGCATAAGGTCATATGAGCGGAAAAGTAGCCTACAACTACAATGAATTAAGATCATGGATGTCTGTAATATAAAATGAGATTTATGAAACACAAGAATGTGCTTTTACTCCAAGACCTGCTTCATTACTCAAATCTCAGACATGGCCGTGAAAGGGTTAAGATGAAGTCAACAACTCCAGGGTAAAAATAAAGTTGTTCCCGCACCCGATCCGGACATTGGGGATTGCCTCGTTAGTGAGACAACTTCCTGGACCTTCGGCATATTGTGGTAGGGTGGCCAGTTCCATTCCACGCCGTCTTTACTTCCCCAACTCAAAGTCAGGCACCCATTACTGCTGGGTGGGCAGGAGGGGGTGAAAAAAATATGTGTCTAAGCCGAGACTCGAACCTGAAAATTTACGAGCGTCTGGTTCCACTGCGTCGCGTCACAGTTGTTTTTGGTGTGCTATTTTTCCCAGATCAACGAGCTGAAAATTGGTGCTCGGGAATATTAGCAGAGGCGGAGTGCTCATTGATATGCCAAGTGAGCCCTTAGTGTGACGTTTTAAGGGTCATTTGAGCTGAACAGGCCTTCCAAGGGAACTTTGAAGAGGCGTGCCAGCTTTCACCGTTGAATATTAATATCCTTGTCTTTGGCATTCAAAGGTTCTCGACGAGATTTTTGTTTAATAGTCGTTTGTGGCAGACATTGACATTTTGAATCAAATGAACATTTATTAGGTTTTCTACATATTATATGTGAGGCAGCGTGGTGGAATCAGGCTCTCGTCAAAATAATCAAAGTGAAGAAACTTGCATTTTTCCGCAGGTTTGTGAAATTTTATCAAATTTTTGTCTTTTGGCTCAACACCTTTCATCCCCATTAAAAAACTCATTTCTGTGTGGATTTTTCTGAAAAGCGTTGATTAAAGGCACAAAAATGTAAATTTTCAGTTACCACGGACTCTTAAGATTAGGAAATAACTAATCTTTGACGGCCATTTTTTCACTAATTTAACCTCTGAAAACAAATGACCCCCACCTTCTTCTTTCGCAAATATCTCGACTTGTATTCAAGATAAATGGATATTTTTTTTCACCAAAATGCAGAGGCGAAGCGTCTATATAATCAAATAATCACTGCTTCCCTTCCTAATTTTGAAACATTGTCGCAGTCAAATTCACCCTAGACGTAAACCTCATAAATTAAATGTAAAAAGACGTTCATAATCACCAATGAACAATAGACTATGCCTAACCTTCAAAACCGTTTCATTGCCAGAGAAATAGCCTGTTCGCCCCTATCGGGCCACTCCATAAGCAGTCACAAGCTTTGATTAAGTAAGCTTAAAGTGAGGCTGGAAGAGTCAACCAATGGATTTGAAGGGAACATGTGCATAGCAGTCAGAACTGTGTCATTGTCGCAAATACCTTGTTCACCCCTTTCGGGCCACAGTTATAAGCACCCAGACGCGCTGATTATCTAAGCGAACTATTACACTGGTCGAGTCTACCTCACAGATGTGAGGGGAACTAACTCCTAATAATCCTTTGACTCCTACTACTACACTGCTAGTGCTTGTTTTTTTCCTCGACTTTTTAACGTCCTATAATCAGATCGTGACCTCGACTATGACAGCGGCTCCTGGCCGCGAAAAGCTAGATAAAAAACAGCCAAATGTGAAATAAAATATTAATAAATTAATAGTTGGCGTGCTCTACCAAAGTGTTTCGGCTGTCTGGTATAACATGCCATTGTACTTGTAGTGCTGACTTCTGTGCTTCTTTCCTTGGTGTTCGTGTGTTCAAATCTAAAGTTAAATTAAAGGTTAGTTAGAATAAATATTTAATTAAATACTTTCCCGATTATTCTAGCGGTTGAACAAGCATACAACATGAATTCAGGATTTGTTTTCATTCACAACTCAGAGTTGCCGCATCCAGTGCCAGTAAGAGTCTTGTGACTTGTGTGAGTGTGATATCTCCAGGCCCTATCTGGTCCCATTTCACTTTGATTACCCTGTCAAACAAGTCAGCCTTCGCCCCTGCCAAAATGAAGACAAGTGAACAAGTTTTAAGATGATACCAATAACTCTACATGCCCAAAAATTGACGAGAGCCTGATTCCTCCACGCTGCCTCACATATTAATATCCTTGTCTTTGGCATTCATAGGTTCTCGACGAGATTTTTGTTTAATGGTCGTTTGTGACAGACATTGACACTTTGAGTCAAATGAACATTTATTAGATTTTCAACATATTATAATATGTGTTTTAACGTTACCATAGGCTCACTTCAGATCATTTAGGAGGCGGGCTCCAACCCTACCTGTCAGGGACAGCCCGGGCTGAGAGGGATGCACTGCCCCAGCAGAATTAAAAGACCGAGATACTCGATAAAAAAAAAAAACAATCTCCCCACTCAGGAATCGAAGTCGTGTCTCTAGCGCATAACCGCTAGGCTACACCCAAGATGTCGGTGAGTCAAGGGAGAAGGGGAGAGATTTATCACTTTCTCCAACACATGGATACTTCAGAAGTAGGCTACAAAGATGTTCTATCTGACATTTTTGGCCTTTTTGAGTTACTAAGACCATGAGGTTAGACACAAAATGATCAACTTTCTCTACCAATATTGTAACTTAAATTTGTAACATTATTCGGAGTCCTTATCAGTAGTTATCTGTCCCCGTGGTTTTATGCACCCCACATAATTTAGCAAAATTTGATCATTTTTTGCACAATTTCTGATTATTTTCCTTTATCATTCTTTGTTAAAATTAACAGAATCGCTTAATTTCACATTTTTGGGCTCAGTTTGCATAATTTCAGAATTTTTCTTGCATAAAACGACGGGGACAGAGTTATCAAGATATTTAAATAAGTGCATTCGAAAAAGCTTGACATGAGGTGAAACTTAAAATCTTTGACGTTGAATGTCTCAAAACTCGGTACTGAGCAGATAGAACTTTGTAATTCTTGGGTAGCGATATGACCCGCTATGTATGGACTGCCGGGATCTTTTATTATCTCGATGTTTGAACTAGAGGGATTTATATCTCTTTACGGTTTATAGCGGAAGACAAGACTTAGAGTGTGGGTGGTTGGTGGGTGGTCTGGTGTCGTTTGCTTCTTCTTTCCTATCAAACATCTATCGTCTTCCCTCCTTCTTGTTTTCTGTTTGTTACTCTCTTGTAACACTTCTAATCTTCGGCACTTATATGACCTTTTTGTGTTGCGAGTGCCGTAAAACACTTACTAAAACTTTTTTTAAAAAGACTTAGGGTAAAGTCTAACACACCCATAAGTCATGGCAATGTCTGACTATAATTCTCTTAGAGTGCAAGTCAGACGACACAAAAGTGCCAAGACGAGAAGCAATGTTTGTTCACAGCTTCACGGG